TGAGAGACCACCAAGGAAGTCCAAGGTCATGATACAAAGGAAGGCAAGGGATTTGAATGGCAGCCCTCCTCTCAACAGGGCAGTGCTGGCGTGGCGAAGGGAAGGCACTGAAATGCAAGTGTTTCCATGATTGGCGACGAGGCTGTAATTTCGCTGACTGAAAGATCGTACTGAGTCACAGCTGGATTCTCAGGACTGGGGGCAGAACATAGCTCTGCCCCTCTCCCTGTGATGCCGTTTAGATCCATTGGAGGGCATCCACTTGAAGTAAGGAAATTCTTAATCAGAGAGTAACTGGAGCGAAAGCGAGATCCGTGCCCACGCACAACTCCGAGGAAGGCTATTTTTATCATATTCAATCAAGAAAATCAAGCCGGAGAGAGGAAGGCACAGGCGAATTTGCATGATCAGACTTCTGTGTCTTAAATGTTAATTAAAAGTTCGCTCAGATTTGCCCACTGCGCCGAACTTTTTTTTTCCACAGCCCCCACTTCCCTTTGCGATAGCCTACGCTAAGGGAAATATTATGTAGCCGGATTCAAGTGTTTGTGATTAGCGGAGTTGTGGATTCTTGGAAGTGGGGTGGAAAGGGAGGGCGTCTTGCAATCAAGTTCTTTTTTTTGAGGGGGGAAAAAGAGAGAGAGAAGAAAAGAAATATGCTGGTCTATTCAACTTCACTAAGCTCCTGAACCTTAGGAGGTCTTATTAAAAGCTACTTTAAATTTTGCCCTTTGGCATTGCTTTGAGATACTCCTGCGGAGCACTGAATCCAAAGTAGGAAGGAGGCTGTTTGAAAGCAACTGGAGTGCGCCGGCCATTTGCTCCGCTTCTGCATCTTCTGCTTTGCCCGACGACAGCCCGGGATTCTCTTTCATGCATTCGTACATGAAGGGAAGAGCACACTGTGACGGGGCCACATCCAGTTATAGTGGTCAGAGTGACAGACAGAGTCTACTGTCTCCGTATTCAGAGGGTGTGTACCTCGGTAGACCAGGTGCTGGGAATAAGCCATGGGAGTGATCCACACCATTGCGCAGTCCTCACGAACTGTTCGAGGGCGTCTGACTGCCCATTGTTGAAAAGAGAATTCTGGAGCAGATGTATTTCGGTCTGCCCCAGCAAGGTAGTTCTTATGTATGTGGGACACCTTTGGCCCCAGGACCACGTCTGGCCTGCAGGCATTTTCTTCCGGTCTTCTTAACGGCTGCTCTGCTACTTGTTGGGAGCAGCAACCTGCGGTTTAGATGAGCAGGCTGTTCGGCCTGAGGAATTGTTATATAGCTCAAGGGCCGTTGGGAGCAAGAGTGGGGGAGACAGCCAGATCTGGATTTCTCTCTGCCCGTGTTTCAGGGCTTCACAGTGGGCATTGCCTCTTCCTGTTCTCAGCAGCAGTCTACCAGTGCCAAAAACAGCCGGTCTCCACCTCAGAGCCCTCAAAATTAGGCAGAGATGGGGCCTTTAGGCTGAAAAAATTGCCCCGTTGACTTTTGTGTGAGGATTCTGCTCATGATAAGATGGGGGGGTGGCTTCATGGCACTGCAAGATGAACCAGAAGTTGACGCTTCTTGGCAGGAAGTGATGTCAGAGTGTCGGCAATGGCTGGAGGTCCCAGCCATGCTCCCGGGGATCCATCAGAAAGAGCCGGTAGACCGAAGCAAAGGAGGATAAACTGTGGACCTGTCTGTCCTTTTGAAATGATACTGAGAGGGAAGAATGGGGTACGTCCTGCTCTGTAGAGTTAACTCTGTAGAGTTAAAGACTGTGGGGAGGGGATACAGGTCTGAAAACCATCTCCTCTCTGAGAACTGACCCCCAACTGTGGTCGAGATTGACTGCTGCTCTTTATTAACAGGGAGAAGCACAGCAGAGTCAAACTGTTTATAGTTTATACAAGAGGGGGACCCGCGATACTCGCGGGGGTGGGGAGTTCTGGCTATTTGTCAGCATTTGAAGAGCTGTCACTTAGAGGAGGGCAAGGAGCTGTTCCTGTAGGCAGCAGAGGATAACCAGTGTTCTCTCTAAGCTGAGTTAGTGTGAGCTAGCTCACAGTTTTTTAGCCTCCAGCTCACACATTTTTTGTCTTAGCTCAGGAAGGATGGGGCTCCAGAGCAAACTGATTTATGCAGTAGCCAAACTGTTCACTCCCAACTTTAACGCCAGTTGCTCACAAAGTAGAATTTTTGCTCACAAGACTCCACAGCTTAGAGGGAACATGGGATAGGACTCACAATAATGGGTTTAAATTATGGGCGGAAAAGTACTGGCTGGGTATTAGGAACACATTTTTACACTCTGTCAAGGAGTCCAAAACTGAACCTTATGAGTCCTCAGGGCTGTTGCACACAAGTAACCAAACCTTGTAAAAATGTTATTAAAATATTATGAAGTTTTATTTAATTTCGGTCAAAACAATGATTTATTCTACTGGCAACACAATGCTCTCAAGTCATACAGTGGGAAAACAAGAAAACTAGCTTAACGATCCAACACGTTTTTGAGACCTGTGTTAGACGGCACAAACCTTAAGTCCAAGAGTCAAAGGCCACAAGCTTAACTGTTTGCTACACTGCTGTCTATTGTGATATAAGTGTACCATAGTCCAGGACTTCAGTCCATCAGAATCCAAGCTAGCCTTCTTTTCCAGGCTCTTAATTCAATTATAAGATTTTGGCTGGAACCCTCTAGAACAGGTGTGTCAAACATGCGGCCCGGGGGCCAGATCAGGCCCCCGGAGGGCTTCTATCAAGCCCACAGTAGAACTGGCTGTCTTCTGCTTCTTCTTCCAGTTCCGCTGCTGCGTCATCGTAGGTTTGCAGCTTACAGATACACACCTGAACAGCATACTCAAGATTGCAACAGCACAGGCATTTTGATGCAATAATTCAGAGCAAGAGGTGTCAGTTATCTTGTCAGAACTACGGCTTGCCCAAGGTCATCCAGCCAGGTGCAAGTGGAGGAGTGGGGAATCAAACCTGATTCTCCCAGATTAGAGTCCGTGCACTTAACCACCACACCAAACTGACTCCTGTTTAATTAGCTGCAAGTTATTAACTTTAGCGTGTACGGTATGTAGGACCCTCACATTTAAAGGGCACCCAGAAATCCATGAGCAATCCAGTCATCTGGTAGCTTTTTTAAGTATGATCCAGGCTGTGCTTCTGGGCAGACTTACACATAAATGAGAACTTATTTCAAAGCAAACAGTTTCAGAACCAGGGGCTGTGGCTCAATGGAAGAGCCTCTACATTTTATGACACACACGGCCCGGCCCAACAAGGTCTCATTTATGTCAGATCCGGCCCTTGTAACAAATGAGTTTGACACACCTGCTCTAGAAAATCACCTCATCACTCCTGACCTCCTCCCTCCCATTCTGTGGGCTGCAGGTTCTCATGAGAAGCTAATTACCACTTCACCAGTCCTGCCTTGAAGATGATAAGGGCTATGTTGGCCAAGAGATGGAACAAGCCCTGTTACCACTCACGTTAACCCTTGAGGGGGAGAGCCAGGAGTGCTTCGCCTCACACACAAACACAATGGGGAATCGGCTGCCTAGGGAGGAGGTGAGCTCCCCCTCGTTGGCAGTATTCAAGCAGCGGAGATGAATGGAGAGTCTCAGTTTGCTTCCCACAATTAGAAAAGATACCTTTACACATTTATCTCCTATTTTGACATGTTTATTGCTTTACTGTTTCCCCCCCATCATTAAATCAAAACAACTGTTGACCTTATAACCTTAGCTTGCTATTTAGTTTTGTCTTCGCATATCTTAAAACAGTGGTGGCGAACCTATGGCACGGGTGCCAGAGGTGGCACTCAGAGCCCTCTCTGTGGGCACGCGTGCCGTCGCCCCAGCCAGGCCCAGACCACTATTAAAGTGTCGAATTCTCTGCCAAATAATTTTAAGTAAACGAAAGCATTTGGGATTGCTTTCCTTACTTTGTTTGGATCATCTTAAGTTAATGTATGAGTTCTTTTTTCTAAAGTAAAGCCTCAGTATTCAGGTTAAATGGCCGTGTTGGCACTTTGCGATAAATAAGTGGGTTTTGGGTCGCAGTTGGGGCACGCGGTCTCTAAAAGGCTCGCCATCACAGTCTTAAAACATCTTCATCACGTTACATGGAAATCTGCTGCTCAGCCTCTTTCTACAAGTCTGAACCTTCCGTTCCAATGTATTTGGAGAAGTGTGCGTGCACACGAAAGCTCACACCATGAATAAACCTTTGTTGGTCTTAAAGGTGCCGCTGGAATCTTAAATTTGGACAAACACTTGTCAGGGATGCTCTAGGCATTGAGCTGGGGGGTGGACTAGATGGCCTGCTTGGCCCCTCCCAACTCTGATTCCATGACTAACTGGACCAAATAAGGGAATTTGGCTGCTGTTGCTTTTGGGTCCCTCCAGTTCAAGGTCAGACCTGAGGCTGTGGGAAGACTCAAGACGGAGTTGCGGGCAGCCCCGCAGGGCCCGGGCTCACTGTTGTGCTGTTAATATCAGCTGTCAGATCATAATGATCTAGCTGTCAGCAGTGAGACTGCTGGAAACCTGTACTAGCCGGTTTGGACCAGATTATGGTATGAGGCCAGAGACAATGACTCAGCTCTAAGCTGATTGGCTACAATTATGTATATATGTGGACAAGTACAGTCCAGGTTTATTCTTCTCTAAATGATGGTTACTGGCAGAGCATTTTGTCCGAGGATTGTATATTTTGTGAATAAAGCTGTAAATAGTTCACCACTGGACTGTCTTGTGTGGTGCTATATGGAGCTGCTGTGGGCTGGAGTGTGGCTGGTGAGTTGGTGAGGCTGCACTAGTCCTGGTGGCTGGCTGATACCTTCTACTGGCACTCAGGCTGTCTGAAGCGCAGCGCGCAACACTCACCTGCTTCCTCTTCCGCCGGCCGGCCATGATCTTCCGCCGCAAAAACTTCCGGCGCTTCATCAGCTTCTTGTACTTGTGCCGGTTCATCTTCCTCCGCCGGATCTTCAGCACGTTCTTGCACTCCATAGCGTTCCCGGCTGGCTCGTCTCCCTCCTCCTCCGGGTCCCGGGGACACGGAGGCAGGTCGTACTGTTGCGGGGGTTCATACTCCAGCCTCTCTCGGATGCTGACGACAACTCCTCCTTTAGGGAGGGAATACCGGACCGTCAGCCAGCTCTCCAGGGGGGAGATGGACATCTTGCGGGGCACCAGCATCTCTTCCAGTTCCAGGTCCACGGCGTACTGTTGCTGGGGCTGAGCTCCATTTTTGTTAGAAGGATGTGTGCTGTAAGACGCGGAGGAAGCACCAGGGGGGCTCAGTGGCGAAGCAGCTGACCTTGACAGAAGCTGACCTGTGGGTAGGTGAGAATTGAGTCAGTAAATCCACAGAGGGGGGCAAAGTGGCAGCCAGCCATCTGTCTGTCACACTTGGACCTAGGCACTAAGAGCTGCTTCCATGCGTGTCTTCGTTTATTGAGGTTTACAAGATGATGCATGGGACAGAGCAGGTCGAGAAAGAGGTACTTTTCTCCCTTTCTCACAACACAAGAACTCGTGGGCACTCCGTGAAATTGCTGAGCGGTCGGGTTAGAACGGATAAAAGGAAGTCCTTCTTCACCCAAAGAGTGATTAACACCTGGAATTCACTGCCACTGGAGGTGGCGGTGGCTACAAGCATGGACGGCTTCAAGAGGGAGCTGGATAAACATACAGAGCAGAGGTCCATCAGCGGCTATAGCCACAAGATACAGATAGGAACTCTGGGGCAAGTGATGCTCTGTATTCTTGGTGTTTGCAGGGGGCAACAGTGGGAGGGCTTCTGGAGTTCTGGCCCCACTGGTGGACCTCCTGATGGCACCTGGTCTTTTTGGCCACTGTGTGACAGAGTGTTCGACTGGATGGGCCTTTGGCCTGATCCAACATTGGCTTCTCTTGTGTTCTTATATTCCTGTCTTTTTTTAACGTTCATTTACTGCTGAAGAGATGGACTGACTCCATCGAGGAAACCGTGGCCTTCACTTGACAAGACTGGAGCGAGGCTGTTAACCACAAGACATTTTGGGGGTCACTAATTCAATAGGATCGCCATAAATGAGAAGGAACTTGATGGCACGCACACACACACATCACATTTATAGCCATACTGCCATAAGCGGCCTCGGGAGCCAATTTTTGACACAAGAGCAGAGTAAAAAATTAGAACCAACTGAGGGACGGAAGGACATGATTGAGATCTATCTTGCTTATTTGCAGGAGATTTTTTATGCCACCAATTGGCACCCAACATATGAACATGTCTACGGATGTGCTTTTGGGGTGCCTGGGGCCAGGACTGTAGGAGGACCATCTTTTCCCATATCAGCCAGCCCACACTGCGGCCTGGTTCTGGATCAATGCTCCCTCTAAGCTGTGGAGTCTTGTGAGCAAAAAATTCCCTTTTGTGAACGACTGGCATTAAAGTTGTGAGCAAGCGATTTGGCTACTGCATAAATTGGTTTGCCCTGGAGCCATCCTTCCTGAGCTAAGCCAAAAATGTGTGAGCCGGAGGCTAAAAACTGTGAGCTAGCTCACACTAACTCAGCTTAGAGGGAACACTGTCCCGGATGCTCCGCCATTAAAGGGGTAGGGGCCCCTGGAAAGTTAAAGGTAGAACCTTTTCTGTTGCGGTGCCCAAATTCTGAAATTCCTTCCCAAGACAGCTTCCTTTCTCTCATACTTTTACTGTCAAATCCAATCAATTTACCGTGGCCAGTGTTCCCTCTAAGCTGATTTGGTGTGAGCCAGCTTACAGTTTTTTAGCCTCTGGCTCACACATTGTTGTCTTAGCTCAGGAAGGAGGGCTCCAGTCCAGAGCAAACTTAATTTATGCAGTAGCCGAATCACCTGCCTGCTCACAACTTTAATGCTGGTAGCTCACAAAGTAGAATTTTTGCTCACAGGACTCCACAGCTTAGAGGGAACATTGGCCCCAACCTGGTGGAATGCTCTGTCTGGAGAGACTCGTGCCCTGCGGGACCTGTCCAATGGAATTATTTCTCCAGGAGTTAAGAACATAAGAACATAAGAGACGTCAATGTTGGATCAGGCAAAAGGACCATCCAGCCCAACACTCTGTATCACACAGTGGCCAGAAATACCAGTGCCATCAGGAGGTCCACCAGTGGGGCCAGGACATTAGAAGCCCTCCCACTGTTGACCCCCCCTGCCCAAGCACCAAGAAGACAGAGCATCACTTGCCCCAGAGTCCCTATCTATACCTTGTGGCTAATAGTCACTGATGGACCTCTGCTCCATATGCTTATCTAATTCCCTTTTGAAGCCGTCCATGCTTCAATTCCGCTGAGTTCCGCTGAGGCAATCTTACGGGGCCTACTCTCAGCTCCTCTGACCGTCGTGCCAGAACGCCAGTGTGTTAAATCATTTTACAGAATATTTGTACTTTTATTTATGTTTTGTATTTATGTCGTTAACCGCCATGAGCCCCGAATGCTGCGGAAGGGGAGGGGAAAAAATGGAATAAAAGAAATAAAAAGAAATACTCCTCCTGCAAAAGAGACCTGCCTGGCTTTCAGCTACCCAAACCGCGGTGCTCACCTGTAAACCGCGAGGCTCTTGCTACCTGGGAGGTCAGCCGTGACAGCAGCATATTGGATCGATCTGCCAGAAAGCGGAAGGAAGATCAAAAAGAGCCTTACATATCCCAGCAACGCATCCCCTCCAAACATTTGGCACAGTGAACCGTATCATTTGTTTACATCAGCTTCAATCTGCAATGCATTTCACACAGTCTCGAGACTAAGCATCGCTTTGAAGAGTCACTAGGCGGAGAGATCTGCCAAAAGGATACCAGTAGCAGAGGAAGGATCCAGCTCTATGCCCCCTGGGTCAAAATCCATCACTCCTTATTAAACACTGGCACCTTGAATGCTCGTCCCAAAGAGACCACGTCTGTCAACAACATATGCCCGGCCATCCCTTACAGAGCAGTTATTTATGTCATTACCCCACTGAGAAAGTGACCATATATTAAAATCCCTTCACCCTCTCCTCCTCTACAACACCCTTACCATAATTCTCGTATTTAAAACGGGTTTTTACCACTGCCCCCTATATAGGGGGTGGTGGTTTTTACAAAGGTTCCCTCAGTGAACGACTCCTCGGCAATGCTCCCTCTAAAACGTGGAGTCTTGTGAGCAAAAACTCTACTTTGTGAGCTGCTGGCATTCAAGTTGCGAGCGAGCGATTTGGCTACTGCATTGATTAGTTTGTTCTGGAGCCCTCCTTCCAGAGCGAAGACGCTGGAACTAGAGACGGGAGCTCACTCCATCATGTGGCACCCGGGTCTCGAACTGCTGAACTACTGACCTTCCACAGCCTGCAGTTCAGCGTCTTAACGACTTGAGCCACTGCAGCTCCTCCTGTTTGCTCTACCGCTACCCCAAATGCAACTTTAACATAGCAGATTCCTGGGCGTCTCTCAAACACCAGGTTCCTTTTAAAAGCAGCCATGGCATAAGTCTCATAGAACTGGCACCTTGAATGCTCGTCCCAAAGAGACCACGTCTGTCAACAACATATGCCCGGCCATCCCTTACAGAGCAGTTATTTATGTCATTACCCCACTGAGAAAGTGACCATATATTAAAATCCCTTCACCCTCTCCTCCTCTACAACACCCTTACCATAATTCTCGTATTTAAAACGGGTTTTTACCACTGCCCCCTATATAGGGGGTGGTGGTTTTTACAAAGGTTCCCTCAGTGAACGACTCCTCGGCAATGCTCCCTCTAAAACGTGGAGTCTTGTGAGCAAAAACTCTACTTTGTGAGCTGCTGGCATTCAAGTTGCGAGCGAGCGATTTGGCTACTGCATTGATTAGTTTGTTCTGGAGCCCTCCTTCCAGAGCGAAGACAGAAATGTGTGAGCCGGAGGCTAAAAGACTGTGAGCTAGCTCACACTAACTCAGCTGAGAGGGAACACTGCTCCTCAGTGCAGTATTACTATGTACCTGCAGAACATCCTGTCAAGTCACAGACAACTTATGGTGACCCCATAGGGTTTTGAAGACAAGAGACGAACAGAGAGGGTTTGTCATAGCTTGCCTCTGCATAACCACCCTGGTATTCCTTAGTGGTCTCCCACCCAAATACTTGTCAGGGCCAACCCTGCTTAGCTTCTGAGACCCGATAAGATGAGGCTAGCCTGGGCCATCTATAAACCATGTATTCTTAGCCCTTCAATATTGGCACAGGATCCCCTCAACCATGATCCTTTCCCTATGAAAAAACTAGCCCTTGCAATCAATGATGTATTTAAAGCCACAGTCCCACCATCAGTCTCACCAATATACAATGCTTTCTTATATGCTAGCTGCTAACAGACTCACGCCAGGGTTGCCAGCTCTGGGTTGGGAAATACCTGGAGATTGGGGGGGGGGCATATCCTGGGGACGAAGGGGTTTGGGGAGGGACTTCAACAGGGTACCATGCCATAGAATCCACTTTCCAAAGCGGCACTTTTCTTCAGGTGATCTGATCTACCTCGCCTGGAGATCAATTG